AATTTGTTTTCTGGTGGTTCTGGCAGGAAGTCAATTCTTTCCAACCATGGGACTGAAGTCAGTCTGGGGCAGTCTATGTAAGAATGTGGATATGGCGGTAGTAACAGCCAGAGTAAACCAGGTGAGAGGCAAGAAAGCAGGGAGCTGCCTGCAGTTAACTATAAATAACCAAGAATCAGGAGATGACAGACAGATCATCAGAAAGGATTAGCTGAGACAGCAACAGATAATTACATCAGAACAGGAGAGTTAGAATTAGAACTGGGTTGTAAGATGACAAATCTCTTTCGATACATAATTGACAAAAGGACCTAGCCCCCACTGCCTAGTGAACTGGATCCAAATGCCTATATTAAGAGTAATGGAGGGTATAGATGACACGTTACTATAGGTTTAGTCATAGACACCGTGATGATTTTATTAACAATAAGCTATTTGTTAACAGCTATTTAGCTTTTTTGCACTTACATGTATAGTGCAAATATAATAATAACCAGCTCTCTAGAATATTTAAATCAAGTTTTTCTCTGTAATCTCCTTTACCTTTAGACCATCTTAAATTTTTTTAAAAAAACCGTTCAAATGGATGTAGGCTCTGTCCAGGGCAAGTGTCTCTGGTTGGAGCTCCACAGGTCACAATGGGTAGCATTACTCTGCTACATTCAACAGTAGTCCAGAGCTGTGCGGGCATCAGCTTTGAAGGTCCATGCACTTGGTCTTGCCAGTGAATGCAACAGGTCTAATCAAATCAGGAAATATGGAATCATGTAGATCAAAAAAACACAAGAGACTGATTGTATTAATATTTAACCAATGTGCCCATGAAGAGTAGCTTCCAAGGGGACCAAATTCTAATTTCCTTTAGCAGCCCATTTTATCTGTCAAAAAACTATGAGTTAGCCAGATTATAATGAGACAGTTGATTCATAGAAATGGCCTCAGGACAAGAGAATTCAGTTATTTGTTTCGATGGTTTAATTTCATTAGGTTTTATCGAGACAGCATTGCACTGTGTTTAAGAGAGCTGGCTCGTGTTTATAAAGGGAGTATATCAGACAGTTAAGTGTCTGAGCCCAGGATCTGGAGCCAGTCTGCCCAGCTCCTCTTCTTAATATAATAGTTGTGCAACCTTTCACAAGATACCTGGTGTTTCTGTTGCTATGGTCATATAACAAGTACCCCCAAACTTCATGGTGTAAAGTGACTACTTATGCTCATGAATCTATGTGCCAGAAATTTGGACAGGGCACAGCAGAGATAATTTGTCTCTGTTTTATTCTTTCTGGGCTATCAGCTGGACAACTTGGAGAGTAGAGTCAGGATTTATCTTCAGATGAGTCATTAACTCATAGTTGATACTGCTGTCTGAGACCTGAACTAGGGCTGTTTTCTGGAATACCTACACATGGCCTTCCCATGTGGCCTGGATTTCTCACAACATGGTGGCAGCTTTAAAGTAAAAATGGAGGAAAAGTTTAAGATGAAATCCATGGCTTAAAAAATAAGAAAGGTCAAGTGAAAAAAGAAATTGGACAACCGTGATTACTATTTGGCTATTTTGGATTTTCAATCTGCCTTTATTTTTTCAGCATTTTTACTGACAGAGAAGGAGCCAAGTCTTCTCTTTAGCAATGGTTCCTCAATATTTTGAGGATCACAGGCTAATTAGGTAACACAAGAAAAATGCTGTGTACAGTTTCAAGGGGTTCACATACCTTGTGAAAGTCAATTAATGATGAGCCTCAAATAAAGAACTCTTGCTAAGCCTCAAAAATGTTATTATCCTCAGAATAGCTTTTAGAGAAAATACAGATTGTGTGAACTGTCTTTATATATTTAAAATCTTCACCTCTCAAGTAGTATAGTATCAAATAGTATAAATGAATGTGCTTCATTATAATAGGTGTTTATATTACAGATAGGTTATTTCATAGAAGTCGGTAAATAAAATGTGTGGCTCTAAAGTACAAAATATATGCATTTCCTAACTGTTATTATGTGTATGCAGCCATTCATTCATTTACTGAAAACCTGGGCACCTACTCATGTCAGCTCTGCTCTGTTCAACATCTTTTAGGGTGAACAAAATGATAGCCTCTGCCCTCATGGAACTTATAGTCTAGATTTTGTTCAGCTCTTTACAAACATAATTTTTATTTTCTAATAAAATGTGGGAATAAGAAGCTGTAACATCCCCTAAGCATCAAGGTTTAACAAATAATTGTGATAATAGAGAACAAAGTTAAGTATTTTCCTTAATAAATTCTAGACAATATGGAAACGATTAACACACATTCACCATGTCTCTTAATAATCATTAATAACAAGGATTGAATAAATAGCAATAAATCTAGTTTTGAGAAAGTGTTATCCTTATCTATACTTTTTGAATAAATTCAAGAAATATGTAAAATTAAGAAATGCAAAAAATTAGAAATTCTACATTCTAGTTATCCTTTTATGAGTTATTCAACTTCCAGTAGTGGTAGCATTATTTCCCCTGGACATATTTCTGCCAATAATTATCATTCCCCCTTTGTTTCATTTGCATGTTATAATACTATTGGTTAAAATTAAACAAGTCTGAGTTGTGAGGTGGAACCACACTTAAACATAGAAAACATTTCAGTGTCAGTAGAATACTATTATTTAAAAATTAAAAAAACTTAAACTTCATTACACATATGAAGGTCACTGACTTTCAGGAATAGATAATGAATTGGTACATCCTTCTATACATTCATTACTGGTAAATGATAATGTAAAATATTATGATTGATACACAATGTTTTGAGGATTCATTGGCATAACTATACAATTGGATTTCTTGGTATCTACCCTAATTATAGCATATACACAGTAAGTACTGGTGCCATCCAGAAATTGAAAGTACCTGCATTTGGAAATAAAACTGCATATTACACAGTGAGCAAAGCATTAATTAACAAATATTTCCCCAAGTAAGTACTATTAAATAGGTTTAATGCAAATCTCACAACTTTTGTAGCACTCCTCTCAAATTAAATGTTTATAGTAGCCATCTAATACTTGAAAGAAAAGTAACTGAAAACTAAGATATCTGAAATATCAGAGTTGTGCTTATCTTAAATCAAACAAACAAAAAACTCAAAATGATTCCTACTTCTTCCTCCAGTAGAGTATTTTTTTTTTTTTTTGAGACAGAGTCTCACTCTGTTGCCCGGGCTAGAGTGCCGTGGCGTCATCCTAGCTCACAGCAACCTCAAACTCCTGGGCTCAAGCGATCCTCCTGGCTCAGCCTCCCGAGTAGCTGGGACTACAGGCATGCGCCACCATGCCCGGCTAATTTTTTCTATATATTTTTAGTTGTCCAATTAATTTCTTTCTAATTTTAGTAGAGACGGGGTCTCGCTCTTGCTCAGGCTGGTTTCGAACTCCTGAGCTCGAACGATCCGCCCGCCTCGGCCTCCCAGAGAGCTAGGACCACAGGCATGAGCCACCGCGCCCGGCCTCCAGTAGAGTATTTATCAATGTTTCAAGTCAATCACTTGAGGACTGAATTTTAATGTGAGTGTTAAGATACCAAAAAAGTATCGTTGCCATCCTTAAAAAATATCTCCACCAGAGGAAAATATTCATAGAAATGTCTCCTCCTAACAAAAGATAATTCTATGCGATTTTAGACAAGTTTACTAGAAAAAAAGTTTCTAAAGTTTTAAATTATTGTGCCAGAATTAAGACAAGGGCATTTAAAATGGTTCTCAATTCATCATTTTGGCTTTTTGAAGAACAGCTATGACACAGTATTTATCATTGGGGATCAATATGAATACCAGGCTTTCATGAGAAATGTTTACTGACCTTAATAAATCTTCAAGTGTGTAAATACAGAAATATTTGTACAGGCAATTTTCTGCTGAATTACATTTCCTCTATTCATATCCTCATACGGCAATATATTTTTTAACAACTTATACTAAAGGTTTGATGTGATGCCAATTTTCACAAGGAAACATTTTTAATTGCTTCACAATGATTATTTTGTATGTAGTTATTTAATCATCATTATCATCATCATGATTAATCCACATTTATGTGTTTTGACAACTTTTTTGCTATCATAAATAGCATAGTAATGAATAAAGCTTTTTGCTTAGAATAGATTCCCACAAGAGAAATTACAAGACTAAGAGGTTTGAAATATTTAAGGTGGTTGATAAGTTCCATAGTTTTGAAGCAGGCAAAGTCTTCTGTACAAGAAATGTAAAAAAAAAAACAATACACTACTAAACTGAATTCACACATTTAATTTAAAATTATAGGTAACCCTCGGTTTACCAATGGATAATGATGTAAGGTTATTTTGTAAGGGCTTTGTATTAGATTTGATATATATCTATTTAGTTACAGAAGAGGGCATTATAAAGTTCTCAACAGCTCACAGAAACAGATTTAATCTTTACTATAATTAAAATATATTAATAACAAATAATGGTTCTGGGTGCTTCAAAATGTTGAGTTCCCTGTTCTTAGTCCTTTACTCTTTCTTCCTCTATGGTTTTAATGTTTTCTGTGAGTGCCAGCACCCTGAACCTCTTGGAGATCACATTCTGAGCTCCAAAATATGTTCTACCTATTTGAGCACAGAGGGTAAAGGAAGGAAAAGAAAATGAGAACCTGGAACAAGGCTCCTGGGATACTGACTAGAGGCTCTCAGGATTGAGGATTGGGTATTTGCCAAGCCATGATAGAGGGAAGTAGGGGAAAAGGTAGTGGAAAGAAGTAAAACACAAGTCCGACAAACTCTGGTGTATCACACATCAGTGTTTCAAAACAAAAACTAAAACCTGCATCAAGAAAGAAAATTATTAAATCAAAGAATGGTATTCATATCAGGGGAAACATTTTTTGGTTGTTTTATTTTTCTACAATATGTGATGGAACATGTTTAGATAATTCAAAAGATGGAATAATTCAAACAAATTAAAATTATCTTAATTATATATATATTTATCTTCTAGAAAATAGAAGAAGATTTACTGGAAGAAAATCTACGTTTAGCTCAAGAGTATCAAAAGATACAGGCTACTTGCTTAACAGAAAAGGACAATTATTTGAATGTATATGATAGACAGCTATCACTTGATGCTTCAGTTAGAGATAAGAAACAGGTACTGGTTTTTCTAATTTTTTAAAAAATAATGATTTATTTGACATGTACACTACAAAAAGTAAAAAGTTGACAGTTTTGGGATCTCTAGTCTGATGGCGATATTTTTGCTACAAAATGGCATATTTTCTTTTCGTCAAGTTTTGTTGTGTAGTTGTGTATTTTTATCAACCTTTTGATATTGAATTTTAAAAAAATATTTGAGAAATGAAACATTTAGTTTCTAATCCATCATTTTATGCTAATTTGCTTTCAATTTACTATAACTAGGAATGCTGATTTTTTTTAGTTTGTAGATTTAAATATGTTTTCATAGACTTAGTGCTGAGAAAAATTATTTTCCTTTGAGTCTTTGTTCCCCACCCCCCACCAGATTCAAATTTCAGAATATAGAGTCATGATTATAGTTAAACGATTTACCTAGCCATAAGGACCAGCATACTGCTAATGGATCCTTTCTCCTATTGGTATTGCCCATATTGCTGTATTATAATCAGTAGTTTAGAATTCCAGTGCTATACTTATCCCTCATTATTGTGGAATGTTGCAAAGGCAGGAGGCTGGGCTTTGAGTGATCTTGGCAAGTTACCCTTTCCAACTTAAGTCTTCTCATCAAACTGGTAAGGAATATAAAAGAGCCATCCACAATAATTTATTTCAAAAATAAAGGGATGCAACTGTAAGTAACTATTATACCCACCTGGTATCCTTCTTATAAACTTCCCTGTTTCCCATCCATCTATTCTCATGAGAGTTAAATCTTCTGAATATATTGGGAAAGAGAAGGATGTATTTTTCCCTTAAAAATCTGTATTGAAACAGTAGAAAGATAAACATAGATCAAGAAATAAGTATTTTTGGGAAAGAATTGATAATACAAGTATCTGCCAAAAATCTCAATGTCCGCAAACCATTTTGCAGGATTCAAAGAAAGAGCATCTATATATCCATGAAGCATTTGTCCAATCACTTGATGCATTTGACGTAGTTATTGAGGTTAAGCATGTTCTACTTGTTGCTCATAACTGAGAAAGAGAAAATAATCAATGGTTATACTGTGTTTCCTTTTCTAATCAGGGAGAAAACAAAAATAAATTGTATGTGCACTTGTCATCAGTTTGTACAGAATCCTTTGGAGGCAAATGACAAATATATTAGAGACCTGCATAAATAATGGAGAATTCTGCATTTAAGAGGAAACCCTAACATCATATTTCCATAGAAAGATAAAAATTGTCTTGATCTCATTTGTGGAATTAAAGCAAATCTTAATGCAAGATACAAGAAGTGAGACTTAAGTATGAACAGACAGACAATGGAGAATGCTAGGAGATTGGGTTTATGTTTGTGATCCCTCAAACGAATCACTTTTAGCACACCTGTTTCAGGGAAACTTTCAAAGATTTATTTGTACTTCCAATCATTTTTCATTGCCATCCTTCAGCGGTGGAGGTCATTAAGTGCAGGCTGCCCTTGTCAGTGTCATGTAGGATCAATTTGCTGCAATGGACAGAGAGGCCTTATTGATGCTTTTAAATCTGTCAGTGAGAAATCGTATGTCATTAGTGTCTAATGCACTGCTTACAGGATGGAATTTGGCCATCAAAAATGAGAAAACCCTGTAATATTTTAGTCCATTTCTTTGGTATTACAGCATTTCCCATGTATGTGGGTTTTAGTCCTTTGACCAGGTTAGTTTGGGTACACAAAAGCACCATCCATCCTCTGATTCCCTTGTTGTATTCCCTTGTCAGATAAAAGGGATCTCACCTTCAGGAATTCTGTGTGTGTTCTTCCTGTTTTAAACTAATTTCATTGCTTCTGAACATGAATTCTTTTTTGCGTGGTAAATAATTATATTTTAATTATTGTGCTTCTTAGGGAGTATTATTTTCTCTACACAAATTGCACATTTTATACTTCTCTGTATTTTTAGGCCAAGTGTAGCGAAGAAAGCCTAAATTGAAATAATGTTCCCTTCCTTAACACAATTTTAAATACAGATGTCTCAAATGTTAGAATGCTGTAATATTTCTCTTAGCGATAATATTATGTCTGCTTTATTAGCATATGTTTCTTGATGATTTCCTGTACTTTAAAAATTTGCAGTGATGAGCATTTTCCCCTTTAAAAATCAGGAAGAGGTATTAATAAAAGCAATTATACAGAATTCTTATTTGCCCTGTTCATGGGTAACGATAGACTAGAATCCAATCTAAAACTTCTCAAATGTCAAAATTAAAAATAACACTAGAAATAAATGAAGGAAAAAAATCTGAAAAACAGATTATACTTCCATGTGGATAGAGACATTTTTATTATTTTCATAAAAAGTTTTCCAATACTTTTCATTAAAATATATTGTTTTTTATAATATCTTCTCTTAAAAATATCCATGAATATTTTGATGAAATCACCATGTGTTTAAGTGACGCATCAAATTCTTTGGGCCCACGAAGTAAGGTAAGTTAAGTGAGCATGCAAATGTGGGTGTGGTCTGTTGTTTGAAAAGCAAATCTCTTTCAAAATCGGTTAAAATATATTTTTTAATTATTTCATAAGCTGTCTGTATTGCCTACTACAAATCCCAGGACTTTTAAACTAAGGGAACAGAAATTATTACAGAATCAGCCAGCACTTAGCAAGCATGTATGTGGACAAGGTATCTGTGCTATGCAATTTGCAAACATTATCTTTTCAATGACCTTCAATAGTCCTGGGGACTTTTCTACTATTATTATCATCTTTCACGATATAAGATATGGAACAGAGATCGGATATCTCACAAGATCACTCAAGTAGAGGGAGACACTGCAATGGGGATCAAACTCATGTTGTTCTTACATTCAACCCGTTGCATGATTACAGCACTACCTCTTTACTTTAACATTAATCAAACAATCCTATGCATGTCTCATCAAGTTTTATAAAGCTTGCAACAGTCATATCAATTATATGTGATGTGTCTGGTGTCCCGGTGAAACAGTCTTTGATTTACTGATTGTTTTTGTAATTTTATCTCACTGGAGCCATGTTTCCCAATGATGATTTTCTGGTGGAGAAAGAACTACCTATTAAATTAGAAGCTATTTAATTTTCATAGGGATTATAGATAGGTATCATACTCTAAATTGTTAAACTTTTGAACTAGAAGCAACCGTAGAAATACTACTCTTCTCTTTAAGACGAGGAACCTTTGGGAGGCCAGAGTGCCTCAGTGATTTATCACATATACAATTAAGTAGAGGAAAAGTCAAGCTAAGACATAGTTTTCTTAATTTATGATCAAATATTCTCTCCAATAAACTGCAGATGAGCACGTGCTGTGACTTTTTTTTTTCTTGGAGGTTTGAGTGGATCAGTAGCTGAGATGTAGTAAGAGTAGCTGTTGTGGACATGATCATATGGGAGTATTATCTGTAAGTGACTTGGGCTTCTGAAGGGATCACGTAGGAGCAGGAATCAGAGGACTACCCTGCAGCAGACGGAGTGTGCTGGGCTCTCAGGAACACTTCTGGGCCTCACAAAATTCAAACACTACTCATTCATTCATTCAATTATTCACAATATATTTAATATTATTAATAACCCATTGTACTGACAAAGATACTAGAGAGGGCACAGGAACATGCCACCTCATCTCTGTGTCCATGCTGAAGGCTGTGATCCCAAGCCCCGGGGATTCCCTCCTGCAGTGTGGCATAGAGTCAGAGCTCTTCATCATCCTCTCTTCACCTTACCAAGGAAAGAACCCTGTGTTTTTGCTACTTAATGCACATTGCCTGGGCCTCACTGGACAAAATTTCCATCTTAATTTCTCAGAAAATTGTATCATCTGTAGATTTTATTAGTTTAGTCAAATCTAAATCAAACCAGTTCTTTAGTCTAGGACCAGTTCTGAGTGAATCGTCAATTTAGGTATCTTTTATGTAATTTTGAGAAGATTTTCTTCTGGTGGGGTTGCATGTATTATAGCAATGAACAGTTTTTTATGTTAGCAATGCCTTAAAAGTAATCTGTTGAGTGTGATGCTTGAATCCCTGGTATATCAAAGACATTAAATGTAAAATTCTCATATATATATATGAGATGTGTGTGTATTTGTGCATGTGCGTGTGTGTGTGTGTGTGTGTGTGTATATATATATACACTTGTATATATATATATATATATATCAGTGGTTCTCCACCAAGGGCTATTTTGTCCCCCAGGGGATATCTAGATATCTAGCAATGTCTGAAGACAATTTTGGTTGCTCCTAGTGAACAAAGGCCAAGGGTGTTGCTAAACAACCTACAATATACAGGATATCCCCTCCTCCCCCCTACACACAACAAAATTCTCTAGCCCAAAATTTGAATAAAGCTGAGGTTAAGAAACCCTGATATAAAGAGAGAGAGAGAGAGAGAGAGGAGAAGATATACATGTTATATGTATTATATCTCCTTGTAAAAGATTCAAACTGCATTTGCATATTAAAAAATCTGAGGAATCTCATTTTAAGAAATCTGTCAATTCTGTTAACTCAGAATTTTCTGTTGTTCCTGTAACTCTTTCTTCTCAGAAAATCTGTTTACTACTGATTGATTTAGTGTTTAGTGGAATAATCC